ATACCTCAACAGGTAGTGAGTGAGAATGAACCAGAAGTAAGGATACCTCAACAGATAGTGAGAATGAACCAGGAGTAAGGATACCTTGGCAATTAGTGGCATGATAAAATAACTTTCTTTACTCTTAGCAGCTGTCGCCATGCCATCTGTTGCAGAATTATGCAACTAAATTTTGTACTGGAAAATGTATTATCTATTTGTAGCACATGCATAAATTAGAGGTTTATCTGTTGTCAAAACGAATCATATTTTTATGATCCATCATACAATAAATTCAACTTTTAGTTCATCTGTGTTTATGGCCTTAGTGACATTTTCAATTGTCATTTTGATTTTATAATTGTGTTTACAAAAGTATTACCATGGTAAACTGCATTCAGGGTTGGGAATATGACATCCATCCAGTTGGGGAGGGGGGTTAAAGGAAAAGTTAGGTCTAACAACATCATCTTCCCAGATGGAAGAGTCGGTAAATGTAAGAACATGCAATTTACAGCTTTTTCATATCACTTTTCATTCTCAAGATATTCAACTTTTCATTTATAATTTATGTAGTCCACCATCTTGATTCTTCAGCAAAGGATAATGGGTAAAGTATGACATCATATCCATTCTTTAGAGAGCATTATATTGTTTGGCTTGACTTCCCCTTTATGCTGTTGGTTCCCTGTGCTTTCCCTTCAGTGCACATACAAAAATCCTTGCACTCTTGTCGCAATGAGTAGTGGATTACAGGATGACTGGTACTTAACCTAGAAATGCAAGACTTTTTTAGAAATTACAAAATTCCATTTTCAGAAAAATGAATGGGCAATCCTGCCTAAATATGGTCAAATAAATATTAAAAAAAATAGTGTTAAGAACTAATGAAAACCCTTTTATATTATGTGAGCATTGAAAGTAGCCATATCACACCTTGTACAATATGAAACCTGATTTGCTGATTGATGGCATATTATTTTCAGGCTAACTGGAGTGAAACAAGTAAAATTTTGAAATCTCTACTAATAACACTTGGTATATCAAGACCACCTCCTGGAATCACAGAGAATCAACTATTCAATAAAGTGGAATCAAAAATACGAGAGCTTGCGAGTCAGTTACCTCCAGATCATCTTGGTAAGCCGATTATCAAATCTGCATTGAGCCCTAAACAGTGGGTAAGTAATCTAAATCACTATAATTCTGGTTTGTGAAATTCAATAACTTTGGATATACCTTATTTATCCAAGTAAGAGCCCAGGGTCCTGAACATAGAAAATTACCAAAAATAGGGGTGGGCCTATGCCCGGACATCCCTTGCAAAATTGCGAAAATTGACAACATGCAGATCAAACTGCGGTGCGGCATAAAATGGCAAATGAAAACTTGCAACAGAAATAAATGAACACTATGCAACATTAGAAGTGAAACAAAAATAATTTATTGCTTATAATGTGACAAATAAACCAGAATTAATAAAAATCGACAGTAAGGAATCATTTGAATTGGGATTTCTCCGCCGCCAAACATGCCAAATACGCGAGCCCTCAAAATGAACTGAAATGTCAGGGGTTAAACTGCGTAAAATTATTTTTTGGTTTCAACAAATTACGTGCATTGTCATCTCGGTCAAAGTCAAAATCCACAAAGTTCAAGTTGGTGTCGCTGTCGCCATCGAACAAAATCCCTACAACTTCGTCCTGAAGTTTGTTCTCGCACACAATTTGGACTCAGCACTTTGATTCCACAGATTTCACAGTCTGTCAGCTTGGCACTTTTCTTTCATGTCTAATCACAATAAAGAAACAAGAAAAATGGGGTCACTCTGCTACGATGGCACACGATGCTTTTGTTTACAGTCTGTCAATCATTTTTGACCTTTAAGCATCTGCTTTACTGATTGGCTAAGAATGACATCATTACTGGTGTTTCATCATAGAGGTCAAGTCAACATTGTTTTCTTATTAGACTAGACGCTTATCAATCGTGGTGAAAATTATTATTCTGCAAGCTCTGGCGGTTGGAATGTCTCACTATATGGATATCCTGTGGGCTTGAAATAGGAAGATTTTTTTTTCTCCAATGACAGAAGAATAATTTTCATGGCAGAAATGCAATATAAGGTATCCTTACTTCTGATGAAAGATGGTAAAAAAGTTGTCGGACTTCGGCGGATTGCTACAATATTGCAACATTGGTTTCATTCTCGATGACACTAAAGCCGAACGAGTGTGACAGTTGCTTCGCGGCTCTCCATATTAAAATTCTGTAAGATTTGCTTGAATCATTTCTAAGGAAACAACAAACCAAACGGCCAGCCCTTTTCAGGGCCATGACATATTTTAAAAGAAGAACTACCGTTTCTGCTTTAATATACATTTTTGTAAACTTGCTGATAACAATTCTGATAAAAAATATTTTGCTGTCACAGCTATTTCACGTTCACCCCTTGTTTACGCAATTGACAATTATTAGCCCCCTCTCGGGCTTGTAGTTTCTCCTTCGTCAGTCCGTCCGTCCGGAGTAATTTCTTGGAGACGGCTTGGTACAAAGACATATGTATATGTGCACGTCAATTTATTTCCTGATTCGATAAAATGTGGCCGACTGGTGGCCATTTTTAATGACAAAATTCAGTCCTTGGTCCTTGTGTGTCCATCATTATTTCTCGGAGATGGCTTGACCGATTTTGGGACAAAGGGACCACCCATACAGATGCACGTTGTTTTACTTTTTTTTCAAGAATTTTTGTCAGAATCACAACAAACTGCAATGAAGTCAACTGTTAATACAATGAACAAATAATAGGTTTTTGTTATTTTTCTTATTTACAAGTGTAGAAAAAGACCCTATTTGCATATGCCAAGACATGACCTCTATTTCTTTATTGTATCAAAATTGGGAGGTCGGCGTTTGCCTGGGCATGGGCTTCTTACCCGGATAAATATGGTAGCTCACACTCAATTCAATGACTTAGCTTGGAAATAGATTTTATTCAATTTACGTTATCACACCATTATTTAAACAATAATGAACGACCCGCCAACCCATAATGGGCGAAAGCTCACTTTGTGCGACATATATGTACGAGGCGTTAGCCGAGTACATATATGGAGCACAAAGTGTGCTTGAGTCCATTATGGGTTGTCGGGGAGTTCATTATTGTTATTATTTTGTAGCGTTGTCATTACCAGTGGATTTGCTGCCTCTAAAAAGCGGAAAAATGTGGAAAAAATCTACAGTGAACGAAATAGTTTCAAAGTCACTGGCCCACGAATCTGAATAATTTAAAATGTCTTTCTGGAAATTGGTTCCACAATCTCATATGGCAAACTAAGGAAGAAACTAGTTTTAATCCATCAAATATAATTGTATTGAACTCATTTACATTGCGAGTGAATGAGTGACTGATGTGTGATGTGGAGTAGCATTACAGTGATTACCCGAGCGAACGGCACACCGTGACTGGTACCGGGACTGGTACACCGTATCGGTGTCCACCGCGGCTTGCACTACACTACGCTAGATCGCCGCCGTGGTCCAGCTGGATTGTCTGTGTGTAGGGATGCGTACCCGGGCACGTGTACCTAGTTGCATCGTTACCCCATCCCACTAGTGTTTTCAAACAATCAAGGTAGATATTATTGGCAACTGTTCTTTCTGTGTAATAGTTATTTTAAATTTCACGGGAGGGCGAGGATTTGACGAATACTATGAAGCCTAACGTAGCGTAGCGGGCGAACGAACATGACCGGAAAGCCAG